TGGCTCGGTGGGGCTCGCTGGGGCCGGAGCAGCCTGAGAGCTGGCGCTGCCCCACGGGGGTCCTTGTGGACACGGGTGCTTTCTGCCCCCTCCCCATCCCCGTCCCTCCGTGGCCGTGGGAAGGCTCCTCTCTCCCAGACGTGATTTTCGCAGCGAGCTCCGAAGCGCTGGCGCCGAGGATGCTGTGGCAACGCGGTGTCGGTACCCAGGGGATGGCAGCCGGCGGGGCTGGGGGCGTCCTGAGCAGCCTGGGATTTGTGAATCCCCCTGTCCCATGGACAGGCAGCTGGGAGGAACGAGCCCAGCAACGTGCCCCCCATAGACCCTGCTCCGTCCAGGACATAGCAGATGCCAGATCCATGCTGGGGGCACCACGAGCCATGCCGGTCCCAGTCCTGCGGCAGATGTCTCAGCAGCAGCCAAGGGAACCAGGGACATGGCAAGGGAGATGGGGGGCTTGGTCACGGGGTCCCCGTTGTTCATTCTGGGGGAGCGTTGAGCTGTGTGGGCACCCTGTGGGCTTTGGAGTGCCGGGTAGAGCTCGGAGCCTGGCGTTTGTGGGGCAGCGAGGTTTGGTATGGGTGGGTGTGTGGGAAGGTGAGATGCTCCAGAGAAGGGGACGTGGTGTTCCCAGCATGGATCTGGCATCTGCTATGTCCTGGACAGAGCAGGGTCTATGGGGGGCATGTTGCAGATGGCTGAGCCCCCCTCCCCAAGTTTTCCATCCCGAAGCCTCCAATACCCACAGCCGGAGGTCGCATCCGGCAGTGGCAGTCCTGGGGTCTGGCTCAGCCGTGCGGCTTGTGCAGACAGTTGGGCCAGAGCCCAGAGGCCGCATCCAGCCCCAGCCTCCACATGCTCCTTCCCAGCTATGGCATCTCTGTAAAGCGATGGCTCTGCCATCCCAAATCCTCCTCCAGCCACCCTCACCATGGAGGGTGGAGGCATGGGGGAGGCTGCTCAGTGTGGTGCCCACATTTTGGGGGATGTGGGGCAGGGTCTGGCCTTCATCGTGCTGGGGAAGGCAGCGGCGGTGCGGAGGAGGTGCTGTTTGTGTTGAGCCACCCTTTGGAGGAGGCCCGTGGAGGCAGGTCCGAGGCCAGCTCACGCATCCGTGTTGTCATGGTGAATTTTCACCCAGGCACAGGGAAACTGCAGTGTTTCCCCAAAACCTCGCAGGCTCTGTGCAAATGTTGGGCTTCTCCCCGCAGTGGGATAGGATGGGAGAATGTTGAGGTGTGCTGGTGCGCTCCCGGGGTGCTGGGGAACAGCATGCGCCTGGCTGGAAAGCGCAGAAAATGCCACCCTGAGCTGCTGTGACTGTGCTGTCACCTGCCCGGGATGGGTAGGAGCCGGCTGCTGTCCTTGACTGCACTCCCTGCTGGGGACCATCATGCTGGGATTAACCTGGGCCAGACCTAGGAAGATGTGGCAGAGTGGAAACATTATTTTCTTAGGGAAAATAATCCCCCATGGGGACACGTTCCTGGCCCCGTCCAGCCTGCGGGACCCCTGCCCCAATGGGTGTTGGTGTCCTGCAGGTGCCAGCCCTTGGTGTGTTATGGGACTGGATCCAGCTTGGGGCTGTAGGGCTGGGGTGTCCTTGCCCCCCAGAGTGGCTCCCCTGGGCCAGGCTGCCTCCCTCCCCCCTGTCCCCATGCCTGGGGTGGAGCAGGAGGATTTCCACTGCTGCTAAAAAATGGGAGCAAAAATAGCACTGGGTTTTGGCACGGGCACAGGAACAGGCTGCAGGGGCAATGCAGCTGCAGGGGAAGGAGGGAGGCGCTCGGTTCGGGCTGGCTGGGTGGCAGGAGCACCCTGCAAGCAGGGAGACACAGGGGCCAGCCCCTCCATGTCCCCTTGCCCACAGCATGCCCCTTGCCCATCCCATCTTCTTGGTGGCTCTTGGTTCCCTCCCTGCAGCGGGTGTTGGGGGTGCTGGGGAGGTCCCTCTGCCTGGCCTGCCCAGGTGAGAGCCCCATAAATACAGCATGGCTGTGGGTGGCACAGCTGGAGGCACAGCTGGAGCCATGGGGACGCTGCCCCGTCCTGGGTGCCTGTTGGGGCACTGCCTGTAGGTCTCGTGCCCAGTTTGGGTCTGGGACTGAGATGTAGACGTGCTCCAACAGGGATCAATGTCTGCATGAGCGCCGGGTCATTCCTGTGTCCCCACAGGCCAGTCCCTTCCCCCTCCGTGCCATCAATGCTGCTTTCTTCCCTGCACCACTGCAGGTGTCACCTCCCAGGGTCCCCAGCCACCTCATTAAAGCTGTGTTCCTCATTACCTTGCCACCGAGCCACCCCAGCCTGGGTTGCGAGGTCTCCCACAGTGACAGTGCTGCTCTGGGTGCTCCTGTTGCCAGCCCTGTGGTTAAGCCCAGAGCTGCAGACCTTGGCCTGGATGGAGAGGAGGTGGTGGAGCCTGATGGCCTACAAGCTGGTGTGCCTGGGCGGGGGGACCATCAGCTTTGTCCCCTCTCTGCTGCCTTGGCTCCCCTTACACCCCACCTAATGGGGAAGGGTGCTTGGGCAAGAGGTTTGGGTTTCTCTGGGGCATCCCCAGCCCAGGGACAGTGCCCAGTTGGGTGGGCTCAGGGGAGCTGCATGGGGTGGGTGTCCTGGGGAGGTGGCCATCATGGGGGAACACCAACGCTGCTACACCTCATGCTACTTTGCTCATGGCTGGTGCTGAATGCACCCCAGCTGGGACCCGTCAAAGGCAGGAGGGACAAGGGACATCCTGCCCCAAGAAGGCAGGATGAGTTAGAGCTGGGGATCCCCTTTCCCTGGAAGCTGAGGACTGGAGGGAGCTATGTGTTCCCCAATCTCTGCCTGTGCTGCTCGTTTATACCCAGTCAGCTCCTGGGTTGAATGGGGCTGCTGTGGCCTGGTGAGGGTGGCACCCCAGCCTCTGAGGGATGGCTATTAGCTGCTAATTGCTAATGAGACAAGATCTGAGAAGGGCTGTGGTACCCTGGGCTCTCCTCCGTCCCACCCCCAGATGCAGGATGGGACCCCCTATCCCTCCCTGCTGGTACCAGCAGGGCTCCTGGCCTGAGCGGGCTTCGCAGCAGTCTTTGATTTAAAGATTTATCCACTTTAAATACAAAGCCGAATGCAATATTAATGTGCTGAGTGGTGTTAGTGGGAGTCGGGGGAGTCCTTGGCTGGGGCAGTGGGGGCAACAAAATAGGAACAACATGAGATTTTGTCTGGGACTGCTCCAGCCCCGTGTACCCAGTTTTGGCCAGAGTCTCTGCTAGGGTCTTGGCTGGGGTCCCCCCACTGCCCACGTATGGGGAGCCTGTGGTGACAGCCATGGGGCTGCTGGGCAGGGAGGGGAGCAAGGGGCTGATGTGGGGTTGGGCTGGGCGAGCTGTGCCTGCCACCTCCTCGGGAGCTGCCGAGGGGGTCTTGGCCATGGGCCCCAGGCAGGGGGTGCTGGCTGCACCCCGCACCCCCCTTTTTCCCCCTCCCCGCCGCGCCCGCGAGCCGCTGCCGTTTCCATGGTAACAGGTTAGGATGTACCCCCGTTCCCCTGCTGCACCCTGGGGACCTGCTGCAGACCTCGGACCCCCCCACCCTCCCATCTGGGGCTCTGGCTCCCCAAAATGGCTTCCCCCGGGCCGTGGGTGATGGGGGGGTTGTGGGACAGCATAGGGCATCCAAAAATGGGCGCTGGCCTGGTGTGGCCTCATCCTGTGCTGAGGAAAGCAGACCCCTTCTGCCCCATGGCATGGCCTGAGCCGCCCACCCGCCATGGAGCTGCCACCAGCCCCCTTCTTCCAGGGTGGGTGACAGCATCCTCCATGCTGCAGATGCAGGCATCCTATCACCCGTTCCCACGGCCAAGGAGGATGGGCATGGGGAAGTGGGGAGGACGGCAGCCGTGGCTACCAGCCTGGCTCCATCCCTCCCCAGGGATGGCACAGGGATGGCGGCCGCTGGGCAGGCAGGGCAGAGCCGTCTGCGTGGGGCCAGGGAGTCTGGCAGAGCAGCTGTCCCTGCGCAGATGAGGCCTGCGGCCTCTCCGTGCAGTTAATTATGCAAATATAGGGAAGTGTGTCGAGCGGAGGATGCCCTGCGGGCTGAGGATGCTCTGTGTCTCTCTGTGATGCCCTCCCTGCTCAGCCAGGCAGGCAGAAAGCAGGCAGCTGAGGTTGGTGGGGCTGGGGTGGCCAGTGGGTGTGGGTGTCTATGGGTGGCCCCGGGTATTGGGCACGGGGTCAGTCACCCACAGGTAACTGCAGGCTGGGGTGGTTGTGGCGTGCCATGTGGTGACCCTCGGCCGTGCTGCTGCCTGGATGCTCACCACCACCCTCTCTTCCCCTGGCAGACTTCAACTATGGTGCAGACGAGTATGACGCCGAGGGCAACGAGGAGCCCAAGGCGCTGCCGGAGGGCTCGGAAACCATGCCCTACATTGACGAGTCACCCACCATGTCGCCCCAGCTCAGCGCCCGTGGCCAGGAGAGTGGGGATGGCGTCTCACCCACGCCCACCGATGGCCTTGGCACAGGGGTAGGTGCTTGGGATGCGGAGCTCTGTGCCGGGTGTGGTTGAAGCCGGGGCTGGGGGTGCCCGGCTCGGTTGTTTCAGCAGTGCGGGGGGTGCTCTGGTGCTGCTGTGACCTGGGGGACTGTCCCCTGGCGTGCCAAACCCTGCTGGCCGTGGCCCTCTGGGTTCGGGGGAGCTGCGCCCTGTTCAGCTGCTGGTGG